ATACATCAAACACTTTGCCAGTATTATTTTTCCATATAAACAATTGCTGTGGCTGCAAATGGGCAATTTATTTAAATGTAAATGGGATAGGAAACAGTGTGGACTATTAAAATGTGGCCATCCTATCAAAAATTTAGGAACCCCTAGGGACAGGTTTTCTCCCTACATATTGTTGTAATGTACTATCTTGTGTGTATGTACACAATCTCCCACGTATACAATGACTGATCAGAGGATACAAGTCTTTAGCCCTGATGCTGCTCACACCCTGTAGCCCAAAACCTCACTGACGATTTTTAATGGTGTATCACATTGTAGAAATGTCTCATTGGCAATCTACCACCACACTAAGTTTCTTTTGGCATTAAGATTTTCCAAGTTTCTCATTCTCATTATGTGTGCATGCTTTGGACTATATTTCCTCAGTTGTATTAGTTTGCATTTTTCCAAGCTAGATTTCATTGTTATTTTCTGCTCATGTTTCTAATCTCTATAACCCTTTTTATTTCTCTTCTCTCACTGGCATTCCCCCTTACTTCTAATTTAATGTCATAAGCAAAATTCATTAATTCACTTTTTATTTCTTCTCCTAGTTCATTAATGAAGATGTTCAAGTCACCTACACTTAGCACTGTTCCCCATGTGATGAACTGGGAAAATGTCTATTATTTCCTATGGCTATTATCTGTGACTGTTTCCCTGTTCAATTGTGTGATATTGTCTTATATGAATGCATAGAGCTAAATCAAAGCTGTAAAGGGGTTGTTGAGCAGCCATGCAGGAAAGGTGCAATGACACAGATATGACAGCCTCTCAGGTACCCAGCTTCAAAGGAGTTAAGATAACTGGGCCATCAACTGGTGAGAGAATATACCTACCTGGCTCCCATCAAGGCAAGGACGTTTTGCTCTTTACTAAGCATGGGATGAAAAGGAACTCAAAAAGCTCACAGACCTTAGAAAAAGGAGAATTTGAGGTAAGCTGAGAGTTGCTGGCCAGGATGCGTGAGTGAAAAGACTGACAGTCAAACATTCAGAGACAGGGACAAGGCTGAAGCATTTTAGGATGTTCCTCCCAACTCAGAGATGGAGAATAAGCCCGATATGCCGGAGATGTCTGTGGATGGAGAGGTTACGCTTAGGTAAGGAAGCATGTGTGCTTATTTTAAAATCAACTTCTCAAAGCACTGCGAACCTACCTGTTGGGCAAAATAAATCAGGCTTTGTTTTGAAGAAACTTTCTGTCTCACTGCAAATGTATGCTACTACAGGCTCCCGAAGAGAAACGCTTGCAGGGTCGAGCCCCAGTTACACTTACTGAATTTGTCACAGTTGGTAGCCAGGAGACTGTACCCAGGTCCTAGTTTGAAAATGAGTGAATTGCAAAATTCCACCCAGACAGGTAAAGGGCCTGACGCATAACACCTGTAGGGCTCCACCCCAAGAAGAGACAGCAGTGCAGTTAGCTTGGTAACTGTGACAACCCAAACACAAACCAGAACTCAATACATTCCTATTGCTCTACCCTTTGTTCATGGCTTTTGGCCAAATTTCCACATAACAGTGTGGCTATCCAGGCAGATTTGAGTTAATTTTGCATGCAAGACCAAATATCAAATATTTTATTAATTAAAATCTAAACAGTATTACATGTACTGCTTTCCCTTTACTTTTTTTTTTAATTCTGTTAGAACAACGCAAGGGAACTCCCCCTCCCCCCACCGCCTTCTCATTTACATCTCAGGCTATAGCAGCTTGTGAAAGTCATGAAATATTGAGCCTAAAGTAAGCAGAAGAGGATCCAGGTGGAGAACACATCTTTATGGAGAATCTGCTTTTTACCACTGACTGTGAGCATTCCTTTCCTACCTATGTGATCCTCACCTCTCTGACTACCACTAAATAAATTTTTCCCTTATGCTTTCCATCTAGCTATTCTTTCCTCAAGTGGTATGCATTCCTAAACACATAGATGTGCTTTCTGTCTCCATGCAGCATATGGGGAGAGGGGGGAAATCTCTCTTAGGCTTGGTCTCTCTGGCTCGTAAAAAAATAAGAGCCTGCACCTTTATGAACAGACCTTTTTGTCCTCTCATGAGTTCTTCCTCTGTTTAAAAGGTTACGGGAATATGACCATTTTGGTTTATGAAATGAAAGTTTAAGAGTCTACCATTTATCAGAGATTTTAAGAAGTTTGCAAATGTGAGAGCCTAACTCCATTTTCTGATATCTTCTACTTTGCCACCATAAACATAAAATAACCACAAAAAGTAGCTGAACTAATTGTTTGCAACACTGAAAAAGTCCATCTATCAATAGTCTTCCCTTTTGACAAACATTTCCCTTACATTTCAAATAGATTTATGGACAATCCATCTTGGCTTTCTCATGTTTACTTTCATCTGTGCACCAGCGGCAACCAAAATGCCCTCGACACTGTGAATCATAGAATCATGGAATATCAGGGTTGGAAGGGACCTCAGGAGGTCATCTAGTCCAACCCCCTGCTCAAAGCAGGACCTAATCCCAACTAAATCATCCCAGCCAGGGCTTTGTCAAGCCTGACCTTAAAAACCTCTAAGGAAGGGGATTCCACCACCTCCCTAGGTAACCCATTCCAGTGCTTCACTACTCTCCTAGTGAAAACGTTTTTCCTAATATCCAACCTAAACCTCCCCCACTGCAACTTGAGACCATTACTCCTTGTTCTGTCATCTGGTACCACTGAGAACAGTCTAGATCCATCCTCTTTGGAACCCCCTTTCAGGTAGTTGAAAGCAGCTATCAAATCCCCCCTCATTCTTCTCTTCTGCAGACTAAACAATCCCAGTTCCCTCAGCCTATCCTCATAAGTCATGTGCTCCAGCCCCCTAATAATTTTTGTTGCCCTCCGCTGGACTCTTTCCAATTTTTCCACATCCTTCTTGTAGTGTGGGGCCCAAAACTGGACACAGTACTCTAGATGAGGCCTCACCAATGTCGAATAGAGGGGAATGATCACGTCCCTCGATCTGCTGGCAATTCCCCTGCTTATACAGCCCAAAATGCCATTAGCCTTCTTGGCAACAAGGCACACTGTTGACTCATATCCAGCTTCTCGTCCACTGTAACCCCTAGGTCCTTTTCTGCAGAACTGCTTCCTAGCCATTTGGTCCTTAGTCTGTAACAGTGAATGGGATTCTTCCGTCCTAAGTGCAGGACTCTGCACTTGTCCCTGTTGAACCTCATCAGATTTCTTTTGGCCCAGTCCTCTAATTTGTCTAGGTCCCTCTGTATCCTATCTCTACCCTCCAGTGTATCTACCACTCCTCCCAGTTTAGTGTCATCTGCAAACTTGCTGAGAGTCCATGCCATCCTCCAGATCATTAATGAAGATATTGAACAAAACCGGCCCCAGGACCGACCCTTGGGGCACTCCGCTTGAAACCGGCTGCCAACTAGACATGGAGCCATTGATCACTGCCCGTTGAGCCCGACAATCTAGCCAGCTTTCTATCCACCTTATAGTCCATTCATCCAGCCCATACTTCTTTAACTTGCTGGCAAGAATACTGTGGGAGACCGTATCAAAAGCTTTGCTAAAGTCAAGGAATAACACATCCACTGCTTTCCCCTCATCCACAGACCCAGTTATCTCCTCATAGAAGGCAATTAGGTTAGTCAGGCATGACTTGCCCTTGGTGAATCCATGCTGACTGTTCCTGATCACTTTCTTCTCCTCTAAGTGCTTCAGAATTGATTCCTTGAGGACCTGCTCTATGATTTTTCCAGGGACTGAGGTGAGGCTGACTGGCCTGTAGTTCCCCGGATCCTCCTCCTTCCCTTTTTTAAAGATAGGCACTACATTAGCCTTTTTCCAGTCATCCGGGACCTCCCCCGATCACCAAGAGTTTTGTAAGATAATGGCCAATGGCTCTGCAATCACATCCACCAACTCCTTTAGCACCCTCGGATGCAGCGTATCCAGCCCCACGGACTTGTGCTTGTCCAGTTTTTCTAAATAGTCCCGAACCACTTCTTTCTCCACAGAGGGCTGGTCACCTTCTCCCCATACTGTGCTGCCCAGTGCAGTAGTCTGGGAGCTGACCTTGTTCGTGAAGACCGAGGCAAAAAAGTCATTGAGTACATTAGCTTTTTCCACATCCTCTGTCACTAGGTTGCCTCCCTCATTCAGTAAGGGGCCCACACTTTCCTTGACTTTCTTCTTGTTGCTAACATACCTGAAGAAACCCTTCTTGTTACTCTTATCTCTTGCTAGCTGCAACTCCAAGTGTGATTTGGCCTTCCTGATTTCACTCCTGCATGCCTGAGCAATATTTTTATACTCCTCCCTGGTCATTTGTCCAAGCTTCAACTTCTTGTAAGCTTCTTTTTTGCATTTAAGATCAGCAAGGATTTCACTGTTTAGCCAAGCTGTTCACCTGCCATATTTACTATTCTTTCTACACATCGGGATGTTTTTTTCCTGCAACCTCAATAAGGAGGCAGAATGACAGAGTTTTAATTCAAGTATTGCTTCAATAGGAAATCAGGTGACACACACACTCACTCATTCTGACAACAGTTTGATTCCTTGACCTATCGATCTTAAATACAATCAGTGTCCAGTTCCATAAATAAAAAAAAAAAATCACACTGCTTATATTGTCTTAATTTGGACTTACAAATTTAGACAAAATTGTAGACACATCCATGATTACATTGACAGCCAGTCAAAAGCTTCAAACACATTTAGAGTTCTAGACTACGTTTGTAATTTAAAATAAATTGCTACACAATGTCAGCTAAACTTCTAAAGCTTACAAGACAATTCAAATGAGTAGAGAATCAACACTTATCCAAGAAAAATAAAAAGATTAAACAAAGCTTTAAGGTCTAATATTATGGGAAATCACCTTATCTGTGATTAAATTAAATGCTGTTACTTCAGTGTTGACTTTCACACACACACACACAAAAATCAGTTTTTTAAAAATATGAAAGTAAAAGAAGTGAATATACCTTTTTTGGACTTTGCCCCAATCTTCAGCTTGGATGGCCAAGCAATCTGTGTGTTCGTTTCTTCCATAATCTGTTAAAAGAAAAAAAAAAGTTAATTTAAAATGCAACTTTCCCCCCAACATTCTATATCTTCTAGCGTTCCTTTTTGGTGAGATCATATTCATCTTTTTTACACATGCTCTAATAAATACATTTGAAAAGTATAGTTAATGTTAAGGGGGTTTTGAGGCGGGTTTGTGTGTGTGAGGACAGGAGGTTGATGTCTCGTGATTCCAAACAGCCTAAAAGATTGCAAGTAGGAACCAAGGAAGTCACAACTTCAGTGGCTTCATCCAGCTGCCACTGGAGTCAAGGGAATGACCCCACTGACTTCGGTGGGAGTTTGATCAGGCCCATAGAGACAAAAAAATCTATTTTCTTAATTCAAGTATAAAAGTATTTTTACATAAATCTTAGAATTTTAACAGGCTCATTTTGAATGCTTACAGACTAAATTACTTCTGCTTGCATTCAGTATATGTTGCCTAAGTTTATGTTTCACTATTCTTTAGTTATTTTAAATTTGAAGAAGAAATGTTATCCCTAGAATAGTTTATAGTCCAAAAAATCTTTTGCTTATTGGATTTAGCAGCTCATGCATCCTTTCAAAGAGCTAGAAATCCTATTTTTCTGAAGTCAGCTGATGTGGCTTGCAACTTGCCTATAAAATGTTCACCCTCTGAACATTAACAGAAAAATACAAGTTATCTTGCAAAAAAATTCCAATTCTGTGGGCCACATCCTCATCTGATGTGACTGCACTCACTTCAAAGGAGCTACATCAATTTATTCCAATAGAGGATTAGGCTATTTATTGTTCAGTAAGTGATTTGCTATTGTGCTCTCATGCCTTACAATTTAATAATATGTAATATTTCATATAGTTTTAATGGCTTCCTTTTCAATTATACCAACAGAAATATTTTTATAACTCAAACAATGCAATTTATACAGTAAGTGCTTTTGAATACCTTTTTATAAAAAATAATTTTTTAAACTACTTATTTATTGAGCTAGACATTTTGACAAAAAAATTCCAATCAGCAATTGGAAAAAAAATGCCAAACAGTACAATTTAATCTATCTTGGCACTGTCCACAATGAATATATATATATTTTGGGAATTTAATTTTTATATATATATATAAAAATTAAATTCCCAAAATAAATAACCAGACCACTTTGAAAAGGAAAACTAATACATTAAGCGAACCAGAAAACATTCCAACATTCATTGGTCCCGTAGAGTAGCAACGTCCTGGACAGACGCACTAATTTAAGAATTCCTAAATGTATACTCTCTGCTGCCCAAATCAATAATAGAATTCCTCTACAGTCACAATTTCTAGATTAGCACACCATGTGGAAAAAGTGAAAATGTCAGCCAGAACTCACTGTACTACACTTTGTATGTGTTTCAGCAACTATGGGATAATAAAATTCAGCTGGAGGAAGACATTTCCAACAGAGTGAAATTCTATCAGGAATACATACATATTTCTGAGCAGCCTCCAGTCCAGATGTGAAGAAATCCACGGGTAAGAAATCTGAGTTATAGATCAACCAAAACTCCCACTCACATTGACTTCATTTGTATGCATTTCACTTCACAAAGGAAAGACTGGAGCACATGGCAGTTTGAAATCTCAGTTGTTTGAAATCTCACTCATTATTTGAAGTGGTCACACTTTTGGAACTACCAAAGAACGTACAAGTTTAAAAAAATAAACTAGCAAACCCTTTAAAAACATAGGCAAGTCTACTCAAATACAGAAGGGGAAACAATGGTACTGTGCTATGCTCTTCCCGTCCCTCCCGATTTAGTGGAAGCCATTCTCCAGATAGACAATAAAATTCAGGTTCTGAAGCTGAAAAGAACCCAGAAAGGCCAACCCCATTTTGCCAAGTTCTCTTCAAAGGCAAATCAGCACTAACTTATATGAGTTCTGTTCAATGTCCCTGTCTACCAATGAGGGCTCTGCAGGCAGTGACCATCATGGGAGCCTTTGACAGCACAGCTCCACTGCAGACAATGTTAAAGTTGCTTAGCTAGGAGTTAATGTGGAGGCAAAAGGCCTCTATACAGACAGTGATGGCCAAACCCTGTGCTTCTGGTGGGCAGGGAGGAAGGAGAACTTTACTCATCACAACAGAAAAATCAGAAAAGTTTCTTAACAAATGCATTTTTCAGTCCCTTAGGTGGGTTATTTCAGAAAACTGGAGCCCATGACCACTGTGATGAAAGAACCTCTTAATGCCAACTGGCAAGGGGGTGTATCGTGGTTACAGGAATTTCCTGAACCTGGTATCTACGTTCTGGTTCACCTAAGAATGTTATGTGAAGTCTCAAACAAAAAGCTGGCATCACATCGGTCATCCAATATCATTGTGAAATGTATGTAAGGAGTCAGCATATGTTTTTTAAATCTGTATTGGGAGGCTGGTCACCAGCAAAAACAGGTTTTCTGTCAGAAACAGGTCGATTATCCATCTATCTGTTTATATGTAAACTGAGTGTTCTCATTCACAATGGTTCTATCAATGGTCTGAACAGAAAGTAAATGAAAGATTACAAAAAAGAGTTCCAAAATAATCTAACAGGCAGAAAAACACGAGAGGGAGGCGGGGGGGGGGAGAGGTTCACTTCAAAAGTTTCTTCGATTATATTTGGGAGGCAAAGATGACATGGACATCCCTCACTTAGGAAGTGAATGGACATCGGATTTGCTTCATGAAAGTGGGAAAGTGGGATCTCAACCAGGCTTGGTCAAAAACACTGGAAACAACCTTGGGTGAGAAACTTCTTTAGACCAGAGGATAACGGTTAGTTAATTTTAGTCTCTAGCAAGCCTGTTATGATTTTGTTATATATATAACCATTTGTTTCCAATATTATTACTCACTATCTCTTGAATCTCTCTTTTTTGATAAGTTTATTCTTGTTTTCACTATATATGATTAGCTGGGAGGAAAGAGTAAAAAAAAAAAGACAATAAAACAAGGAGGGTGGGATGCTAAAGAGAAAGATCAGCTATAAAAGTGGCTGGCAGGGGGGAAAAAAACCTCACTGGAATAAAAGTTACACACCACTATTTCCTTGTCCTCTCAATAAAAATATGGAATTCTGTATTTGGAACAATATTAGGAGGAAAATCCTTCTATATCTTTATGTCAGACCAAAATGAAATTCAAACCTGTAATCTAAAAGGTGTGCACATTTGGGGGTACAGGAAAGAGACACATTTAGGATTTTCAAAAGAGTCTAGGAGTCAATTTTGAAAGGAAGTCAATAGGAGTTGGCCACCTACCTCCTTTAAGCTCTTTTGAAAATGCAAGCCTATATTTTTACTACATTTTACAATATCTAGGCTAATGTCCTATTTATTTCCTCTCACCCTTAACATGAGAGACAGTTACCCTACTTTTTCATAAAGCCTTTGTTGTGATTAGAGAACATTAGGCGAAACAGAATACCATCAGTTTACCAAGACAGCCATGTCTGGGTGCATATAAATTAAGTATGTTCTATGAGTCCATAATCTCAGAGCAGATATTACAAGGATTTCTCATTTTATATACTATCACTATCATCCAACTCAGATTAGTAAAGTTTACTGTAAATGTTACAATCAGTTATCAAATAATCTCCTACATAAGTTTGGAAACCGTGTGCAATATGGAAAAAAGAAATAGGAACATGCTTCTTTATTGCACAGTTGTATCTCTTTCTTCATTTTTGCAGCAATACACTCATTCAGTTTCACAGTTATTTTAGTCTTGTAAACTATTTTTACTACTTAAAAAGCTTCCTGTTTTCATTAGTTTCTTTCGAGAAATGACTGGGGGTTACTCCTAACAATCAGCTTTAAAAGAATTTAAATTACATTTCTTGATGTAATCATCCTGTAATCAAAAGTAAACTTCAAACACATAAATCAGACAGTCACCTACTTTAGTACAACTTAGTTCTTGCAATCTGGAGAGTGAGACTGAGGTTGCATAAAAACAAATTATGAACATTACATATTTTATGATCATTTGCTTTAATTTTTTAACTGAATTCTATAACAGAACTGAAAGAGCCTTACAGAATTTTAGAAAAAGGAAAAAGATGAAGATTTACTATTTATCAAGCACAAAGTAGTTAAATTCAGACGAATCCTAGAACTATGCCATAGTAAGAGGCAGAATCTCACATTACATTCTTTTATTTTGGTTTCATGGTTGTCTCATATTTTAGAAACCAAAATGCTAGCCATCTTGTGATACTTTTTTCCTGAAACAAACTGAGAAGCAATCCACAAAAAAACTCAATCATGTGTGGCAATCAAAAGACAAGGTGGTTGAGGTAATATCTTTTATTGGACCAACTTCTACTGGTGAAGGAGACAAGCTTTTGAGCGGTCTGGTCTTGGAAAGTCACACCTAAAACAGCTAAAACAAGGTGGAATGGATTATTTAGCATAAGTAGTTAACACATTCTAAGGGATCATTCAAAGTTAAGTGGCCAGTTAACACCTCTGCAGTCACAGGACCAAAATAGAGGGGTTAGGGGGTTACAGATTGTTGTAATAAACCATAGATCCAGTGTCTTTATTGAGATCATGATTTTTACTGTTTATGCAAAGTTATGAATCTAAGGTATCAGACTCGTCTTTGGAAGGTGCTGTGCAGGTTCCCTGTGAGGATAAGGATTGAGAGGTCAGATACGGAGTGACCACTTTGTGAAAAGCGTTTGCCTCTGGGCGATACTGTATTTTTGTCTCATCATTTTTCTGTGTGAGTTCATTTGAGAGCACAGTGATTGTCGGGCTTCACCCACATAGTTATTGGAGCATTTAGTGCATTGGGTGAGGTATACCACATCTGACTGGCATGAGAACAACCCATGGATCTTGAAAAGGTGTGTCGCAGGGGGTATTGATCATCCTAGCACTGGAGATATGTCTGCTGGTTTTGCATCTGTTGTTCTGGCAGGGTCTGGTGCCGATTTGAGTTGGTGGGTCCCAGTCTGTAGGGAACTTGCTCTGA